GTCAAACTAATATCTCAACTAGCTAGCTTTGCTGTTATGACTCTGTTGAGTGTTAAGTCACTAGCTAGCCACATAGCTAGGTATAATTAAGCTTTATGGCTAAATAATTGGGGAACTCGATCGATCCTATGTATGTATAATAATTAATATCTACCGATGACAGCATATATAAATATCATCCATATGCATGCAATATTGATGATGACGTACAATATTATTGACAGTGAAAACTGTCAAAATAAAGACCTAAGTTATAAAATATAATGATGCATCACGATGGCAATACTATTCTTGCACCAACAAATTCAATGTGGAACTAATAAGTGTTAGTAGTACACATTGGTATATGATCGATCTCGTGTTATCTAAATCATTCAATTGATAAAAAGAGGCTTATTAGTACCACAATTTCTTATTAATTTTGTTGTCGGGTATGTAAATGAATCCTATATTCAATCAAGGTTATGACCAAAGTACATACGTACATATATAGTTGGGATGTATTCTTTATTTTAGATGATGATCACGCATATTCGAGAACACCAAGTAATTATATATGTAGTTAACTTAATATTGTCGACGTCACAACTTATCAACTCGATTGATGTTCAACTTTGACGTGACTTAATTAACATGGGTTTATTCTGATATATGGTCTACTACATGATATGCATCTTTCGTCGAGAGACTAACCAGTTGAAAATAGATGCTCTCCAGACCATACCCATCAAATCAAAGTTACTAGCTATGAAGTTAGCAACTAAAATATGACTACTATATATACATGAGAAGATCAATCAACTCAATATATACAACTAGTATACGTGATCTATCTATGTTACATTAGCTTCACCAGTGAAAGAACTAGCTAGGTAAGTACATTTTCTTAATTCTAAATATTGCTCAAGCTGACATCAAACTCTAGGTAGTAAACAATATTAGCAATTTACATGCTCCATCACCATGTTCAAACTCTAGGCAGTAAAACATTTTTACAAGTGTTATAATTAATTAAGTTACCGTTTCCAACAAATTAAGATGCAATATATAATTAAGTTGATGCATGCTGATGTATATCATAATCATACATATGCGCATTCCAACTTTCAAGCTCTAAACTTGGGACAATAACCGGCCAGGCCAGGGTGTGATACGATTAATTAATTAAGTCCATCATCATGCATGCATGTCTAGAAGCAAATTAAACTCATCAATAACCAGTGAAGTCATGGAACCAAGGACTAGCAGCAATGGTAAAATGGTTTGGTTTGGTACTTATAGCTGAAACATTAACCACAAAGTTTGAAACGATTTAGGTCATTTGCACATATAGATATAGTCATAATTGAGCGGTTAAGAAAAATGGTTAAGATCATGTTTCGGTTTGGAGTAACCGAAAAATCTTGTTTAATGGTTACTAATCGTTCTCAAGTACTGGTTGGGTTTCAGTTTAAACAGTTTCTTAGTGATTTTGGTTCTTTTAATAGAAATAAAAAAAATGTTTGGGTTTATACCAATTTCGAACCAATAAGAAAAATTAGCAATCAATAAAAGGTGCTTATCAATAGATTCAATCTAACACCATATACTTTTCAAAACTTTTTAAGTGAGTCATTGTATCTCAACCAACTTTATTATGACATTGTTCATGCACTAAGAGTAATAGGCAAATTGATGAATAACCGAGTAAATTTCATGGAAACAGTTAGATATTACTAGGAGTCAAGAACGGGTGAACCAGTTTGATTCAGTTATAACGAATTTCGTTAAAGTTTCGTTTCCATCTAGAGTGACTCAAACCAATTAGTAAATGGTTTGACTCAGGTACTCAAAAGAAATTTGCTCTTAGTACTGAGCAGGTTCCAATTGAAACAGTTTTTTAAAGGTTTCATTGTTTCAATGGAGACCTTGGCCTTGTCATTCATTTAACGTGCTAGTTAGTGTGGCGACTTGTTAATTGTTATTCATGATTCCAACTTCAACGTTGTCACTTTTCAACGACGAGAACACAAACCTCATGCCAAGAGGGAAAGCTAGCTATAAGGCCGAATTATAACTTCCAAGACAAATCAAAACCACTAATTAATCAAATGATCTTTATACAAACAAGGTCGAATCAGTCACTAGGTGTGATGTATATATCTATCTAGCCATTCTGTTGATAATTTTATTCTAATTAAGAATGTAAGTTTGTTATCATAAATCGAAAAAGTAGTGAATCTATATGTAGAAAATAAGGAATTAAAGTAAGCAATTGTCCAAACACAATCCCCCCCCACCACTTCCATTCTCAAACTAAATTCCAACTCTTCAACTCCAAGTTTAAATTCATAACTACTTGATTGAAATCTATTCTATTCGCCATGGATTGATATCGAATTTGAAATTTTTCTATTTTCCTAGCTTAAATCCCAAAAATAAAACTGTCGTGCCAAGAGAAACTGGAAGATTAATTTTCAAATGCGTTCTTGTACTGGGAAGTGAAAGGGCCAAATTATTGCATGATGGAGGGACTTTCGGAGAAAGTTATAAAGAGATAAGAACAAAGATAAAAAAAACAAAAAATTTAATTTTAAATTGAAAAATACAATGACACAACACGTAGTAAAAGAAATAGTTTCTTCCATGTTAGCCAATTACAAATTTACCTAAGCAAAAATTAAGGAGAGCATGAATATTAAAATGGATAAAATTACATGAAACTCTACTATGGAAATTGAAGTATTAAGCACCATAAAAATAAATATGGTAGACTTAGTGGGCTTGTTGATCATGATGTAAAAGTCATTAACTTTCCAGAGTTTAGTGTATGTTTTGTATCAAATAGAAACAACAAATTCATTTAGTGTAGTTGGTTATGATTGTTGTCCTTGTTTGAAGAGATCTGAGTTCAAATCTTGATATTGATATTTTTTATTTGAAATAAATAAATAATTGTAAAGACAAAAATGTCCTTCCTACTTTCACTCTCGTTACAGAAAATTTGAAATGGAGAAAATTACACAAAACTCTTCCATATATTAATGGGGGACATACATTTATCTGACATATATAAATTGTTTTATTAGGATGATTATTAATTTACAATATTTCCACACTTCAATTCAAATGATTAATAACTTGTTTGACACTTAAAGATAAGAAAATTAACTCGCAAGTTTATAAATCATACCTCAATACTCAATAGCTCATAAAGTTATTCCCGAGCTATTAGAAAATATTGATACAGAATATTCAATGCGAAGATGAGGTTAATTCCCCCCCACCCCAATTAATTTCCCAACTCCATCTAATTATGCCTAGGAAGCACCTAAGTATTTCCTTACTCTGTTAAACGTGTTTTTGATACCTAAGTGATGTAAAAACGCTCGTTGAGGCATTTTGGCTTTGCCTAATGTTTAGACTTACCTAAGTGTAAGGTTAAGCATGTTTTTTTTTTTTTTTACTATGATATATAGTATTAATTTATTCACCGAATCTCATAGGAATTTGATATAATTTGTGGAAAATCATTTTATTGAGTCACTCGAAGAAGATGACCACAATGATCCTCACATCGCTTATAATTCCTTTCAATCTTAGCAGGCCCATAGATTGACATAGGATTCGTGCTAAATATGATCATGTTTTCCAACTTTGTGCGACGCTAATAACAAACCCTGAAAATTATCCACAATGCAAAAGCCCGGTGGGGCCAGTATTAGCAACACAGAATAACATTAGAACTAATTACACTATGGTTTTAATTAATGTTTCCCATGATAAAGACCGAATATTTGGTTTCTATATTGATAATGTAAGTTTTCTTCAAATGTGACAGCTTCTTTTTGGATGTTGGAATTGATCATCTTCTCAAATAAGCTCAAAGATACGTATATACAGTAATACAGAGAGAGAGAGTACTTAACTACTCATACTTTGGTAAAAGCAAGGATAATTAAATTTCTATCGCTTGTTGATGCTGAACGGTAAAGAAAGTAACTTAATTAATCGGTAAGCAGGTGAGGTTGCTAATAAATAATGGGTCATCACAAGTTCGTGTGTTCCTCTGCTTTATTAGTTTGCACTCGTACGTACCATCTGGCAAGCAGAATGAAACACCCCAAGTTAACCGCCGACAGTCCCGCCAAAAGAAAGAAGTGGTAATCCAGCCTTAAAACCCATTGACCCGTCCCGACCCGTCCTGACCCTCAGGGTCGGGCTGGGTCAATTTGTCTATAGGATCAATTTAGGGTCGGATCGGGTCAGGGTCAGATAGGGTCGGGTCACTTTTTAACCCTATGACCCTTAGCATCATACAAACATGTTGGACCTATTTGTAAAATTTTATAAGTTTAGGTACTAAATTGTAAAAATTAAAAAATTTGGGTACCAAAACATAATTTTACCATCAAATTTTAGGGACTTATTTGTAAAAAAATAAAATTTAGGTACTAAAATGTAAGAAAAAATAAATTCAGATACCAAATTATAATTTTTAGAAAAGTAGTCCATTTATTAGGGTCGACCCACTGACCCGACCCTTCCTGACCCGCCCCGACTCTAAAGGGTCAGACAGGGTCATAAAAGAAACAGGGTCGAGGCGGGGCAGTTATACATCTTGACCCTTCAGGGGCGGGTCAGGACAGGGTCAGGCCAATTTTCAGCCCTACCGTCAAGCAGGGCGCTGGGGAAGCCGCCAAAAGCATAACCCATGGCGAAAAAAGCGCCGGTCAAACTGGCGACGTTGACAGGAAGCTAGAACTACCTCTATTTGGGGCGGGGGGTTGTTGAGCCCTTCCGCCACCCGCTGCGGGACTAGCCAGAATATGGAAATCCTCCCACCAAAGCGCCGCCGTTTCCCTTCCACGGCGGCGGCCAGCGTCAACAGGAGCATCCCGATGCCCATCCTATATATATATACATTAATACTGAATTATACAAAACAAACAGACGGCCGAGACATGCTCGACGGCAACCAACAGGCCCTGCGTTACTCCTTTTATTAAAGGCAAGAAAGCTCAGTAGCGTCGTCCACCTGCCGTCGACAGAAGAACCCGGCTCGCCTTCTTCCCTTTCTTACCTGCACCCTCGTTGCTCTTGGGGGCCTCTCCAGTCCTTTCCCTCGATATTACATTGGCAAAAGATGGCGTCCCCTGGTTTCTTGTGCCTAACAACACAACACAGGATTCCGATATTCAATCAAGCCACTAACAAATCAGTTGTCGAACTTTGATATATAACAAACTTGTGTCACGTGAGTTTGGTATAAATAATATAATAATAACACCACCAAGCTGTCATCAAAGAAGTTGATAAAGAACCGACGTGAGCTATTTAGCTTCCAGAGTAGACGTACCAGTTCCTGTGCCAGAACCTCCCTCGTGAGCCGGTTCTTTCATGTGACTATTAGCCTGGGATGCCCTAGCTTCCTCGATTCTCAAGCCTGGAGAACCGTAACCAGCAGCATAACCGAGCCGCGTAACATTGGAGAAGAGAAGCTTATCTCCAGCCATGGAAGGGCTTGATGACATCGAACTGGAATTCCCCAAGGCTAAACTCAAAGGCACAGAACCAACCATCAAGCCAAGAAAGATGAACGGTTATAAAAACCAAGTAAAAATGGTCATAAGAAACACAGGAATCAAGATCAATATTCAGTTACTGTCACTACCTTCAAAATCATCCATGGAGAATGTAGGGGAAACGTCATAAGATGATGTCTCGTGCCTAGGTACAAAAGGTATATCATATGCACCAATAGCAGCTTCAGCCTTCACCTTTTCCTTCCGTTCCTAGCAGATGAAAAATAGTAAATACACTATTCTGATTAGGGACACCAAAAGCCAAACCTGCTACTAAATGAAAATAGGATCGCTAATAAATGATCTTTTGAGTCCTTTAAGTGTTCAGCATGGGGCTAACTGGCTCAATTAACAGAGAGTCATTGCATTATGTTATATCTCAAATTAGCATCATACTCTGTCAGCTTGTTGCTTCCGTTGCTGCTCCCTCTTCTTTATTTCGTCCATAAAAGGAAGTAGGGCATCAGGCGGTAGTATCTCACTCATATCAATTTCACACAACTGGAAGAAGGGGGGAAAAGATTAGAAGGAAGAAATTTATGTGCTGGGAATCAGAAATTCCATAGCTCAAAAGTACCTGGACAGTTGTCGTCAAAGAAAAATGACTCAAGTAACGATAACGTCTTCTCATAGCCTCTGTTTGGGTCATAGGTTCCAACTGCAGGATTTTCCCATTTATTCTGCAGAGCATGTAGACTCTAATCAATTGTCTATTGCTTGTAAAGGTCAGAGCACTGCCGTCCCTCCATCAGTTCAGAATCGTAAGCCAAACATACAAGGAAACACTGAAATAAAGCTTCTTCATAACTCAATACTACTTTCCAAATTGTCGTAAACCTCAAATTATATAACTGAATCATTTGATCGGGGAATCATGTTCATGCACCATCATTTTCACATAAAATAGAAACCCAACACTAGATACGGTTGAATTGCATACTTCAAAGCATCTACAAAGCTGCTCAGGGAATCATCCATGGGTGAATTGATTCTCTCAAGTAAATGCGTTGCTAAACTAACAGTTATGTTGCTACATAATGACCATCGAGTGCCATAGAAAACAAACATTCAGAGTTGGCAAAACTACTAAATTTATGTTTCCACAAACCTGTCAGGAAGCATCTCATAGCTCCCATAATGACGAAGAAGACACTTCATGTTGAAAGGATGGAGTATGAAGTGTTGACCATCAACTGCCTGAAACAGACATACACGGATAGTATGTAAGCTAAAGCACCAACTACTGCTGCCAAGTCAGAGGAGCTAAGATCCGTTAAGAACATAAACCTAAAAAGATAATAATGACCATAAGAACTTGAAAATAGAAGGGTAGTTACTGGAGGCCAGCAAGAAACCATCTGTGAAATTCTTAGGTTTCAACCCCAAACTGAAATGTAAAATAAATAAATTGTTGCTGACAAGAAGCAAAGGTCTGATTTTCCACCACAAGGCAGTATCAATCTAACACCAATAGAGCATAATACATTGAACATCATAAGACATGCTTGTGAGAAGAAAACCTGGTAAAAGTTGTATGAGCCTTTATCCCTATCTCTAGAGCCATTTGGTGGCTCGCGTAGGCACTTTTTATCACCATATGAAGATGATAAAACGACATCTTGTTCTTCATGTGACTCGGTGGAATCCAGCTTGATGCTATCCAACAAATTAGCCTGATCAATGACATCAACAGTAGTTGAAGAATACCTGGTACTAGAGACTACATGATGAGCACTAGTGCCAATCAAAGATCCTTTCTGATTACAAGCCTGCTTATGCGTGGTATTGCTATCACATGCCCGCAACTCAATCCAATAATTCTTCCTCTGCTCTAATTGCTCCTTTGCAGCACAAACATAGGGAAGCTTCTCCAAATCATCCACAAGTCCCGAATCAGCTCTAGCTAACCAATCATCCAACTCTGAAATTGGTTTTCTCACGGAAAGTTCTACATCCAACGTAAATATAAATTTTGAGAATGGATCACAGGCATCATCATTGCATCTCAATGTTGAATCTGATTCCTGCTTATTCCTCTGTGAAGGAGTGAACGAATCCTTCTGCCTAATAAGTAGCATGAACTCTATAGTCTCGCCAACACTGTACTGCTTAACATTCTCAACAGACAAAGTGTACAAATCCTTTGGAGATACCATCATAAAACATAAAGGGCACCGCTTGTAGCAATCTCCCTTGAAAACCTCTTCACCCATAAGCAAATATCGAACAATGCAAGGGAAGCAAAAGATATGGCCACAGGAAGTTATTTGGGGGCACAAGGGTTGCTCCAAACATACCGGACACTGCAGTGGTACTGAAGTGGAGTACCTGACACATAAAATATCCTCCCATCTAAGATTTTTATCGGGATCCAAAGCTTCAGGAGAGCTGTCCCCAGTATCCAGCACAACAAACTTGAAATTAGCCTGAAGGAACAAATCCTTATTGTAAGGCTTGATCTTCTGATGATGCCGTCTTGGAGGAGCCATCCTTGGCTGAGACCGCGTTATAGGATCATAATGGAAGTTGAGGAGATGGTTAGCATTCGTCATCTGGGTTCTCCTCCCAGAAGAATGTGAACTTCCACCTTGAGAGTTAGTTGAAAGATTATTCCTTTCACTCTGAAGAGGTGCACCATTTCCTGACACTCTCCCTCTAGATTGCCTGGAGCCAACTGCTCGAGAGCCAGAGGTGGAGGAGCCACCACTCTCTCCATTATGGTGGGACAAAATTGCATTGGCAATTGGTGTCACTGATTGAGTAACCTACTCGCCAAACAAATATTACACAAAAAGTTCAGTAACTGTAACCTGACAGTTACAGCAAAACATCCATGCTAACAACGAGAAGAGTTTAATTTGAGAAGTCACCTCTTGGGAAGATCCACTGACAACCTCTTCTCCATCCAACCCCAACGTCCCTGCAATGCAGAGTTTATCAACTTATTAAGCATCCAAAACTGCTAGCAGTTACAAAGGACCCACACCCCGTAACCATAGCTTCAAGACTTCAGTTAGCAATGGAACAAAAGAAAGTTTACAACTAACCCAAAATGGCAGGACCCCCAATTACCCCAAAAGAAATGATCTTTCACGAAACAGTAATCATCAGAAAATAGGAAAGGAAAAATAGAACAAAAAGGCAGCACAACGACGGCCTTACAAATTCCCAGAACAATAGCTCGGAGCTGAAATATCATATTAGCTACACAAATCGCGTAAAATTCTAGGGTTGGGTCCATAATCGACTCTGTAAAAGTAGGATAAGCAACACCCAGAAAATCAATCACCTGAGACGGAGGAGTTCGGAGAGTGATGCATGGATCGAAATTGGCGGGAGGGAGGAGGATGAGAGGCGGGAGATAGTTGAGCGGGAGAAAGGATGGCGCCATAATCAGGATCGGAGGTTAGAGCAGGAGATTCGAACGAAGAAGACGAAGCGGAACCTTGAGTCTGTATGGGCAAGATGGACATGAAAAATGCGGGGGAGACGAGGAAGGAGGAAGTAGACGGCGGCGGAGGAGAAGCTCAGAGAAGAACTGAGACGGTGAGTCACCGGCTGGAATTAGTTTTGGAGACCGACACGCCACCGTTCGTCCTCCGATCTTTATTAAAAATCCCGCGTCGGAATCTCGGGCATCCGCCGCATCTTTTCCCGAATATTGGCGACGTGTCCCCCTCGGTTACGAATTTATCTCTATACCCCTCGTCACTCCACTTATTTACCATGAAAGCCCACTATCGAATATCTTGGATCAAGTTGCAGAAATGGTCAATAAACTTTAAGTTCAATAGCGAACTAGTCACTAGACTTTGAACTCTTTAACATATTTGCGACTGAAATTTAGAATAAGGGGTTGTTTGGATGAGTGATTGTCTTGAGTTATTTGGGTCTAAATAACTCGGAATGAGTTATTTGAACAGAAATAACACGTTTGGCTCAACTACCATGAATTGGGTTATTATTTCATGGGTTATTGAGAAATACCGCAGAAACGCGGTAATCACAATAACTAGGGGAGGGGCAGTTATTTCAGAATAACTCATCGACGCCTCTTTCTGCCCCTTTATGCCCTTGCCTCTCTCCTCTCTCCTCTCCCCTTTCTCTTTTCTTCGAAAGCTTCCATGGAAAACTGACCAAAATTGATTGAGGGTGAATTAGTTCTTCTGCTATTTTTGAGTTCCTCTCTTCATGCAGATGACAATGAGTAGCGGAATCCCTATGTTGCAGCGGCTAAAAAAAAGAAGGGTTAGCCGGTGGCGACGACGAACAGAGAGAAAGAGAGAAGACGACTCCAAATCTTCCACCAGCGGGGGAATAGAGAAATCAAAGACCTCTCGCATCTGTTCGAGGAGATGACGATGGAGAAGGAAGAGCTGAGATTTGCTACCACACGATGTTGAATTGCTCTGCTGCTCCTTCTCCTGTAGACGAACAGAGACGAAGAGGCGAAAGACGAACAGAGGCGAATGGCGACTTCTTTTGGTTTTCTGGTTTTGGGGAATCCATAAAGATCTTGAGTCTCCGTTTGCTGGTTTTGCAGGTTCATTCCAGGAAATTTCATCAAGAATTACTGCTGAAATTTTTTGGTCTGAATGTTAGGAAACATAGGATGGTTGAAGTTGATGAACCGATAAGGATTAAGTTCCAGTGGCTGCAAAAGCGATCGATGGGTGGAAAGAACATCCAGTTTTGCGAGTCCTGTGGTACTTTCTAGAGAGTGAATTGCTTTTGGCAGCTGTGGAAGGAGTAGGGCTTTCTTTTTGTAATGCTCATATCCAGAATTTCGCAGCAGGTGGTAATGAATGGTTTATGATGAATGAAAGTTGTAGAGAGCCTGAGAATTTTGTAATGGATGGTTTATGATGACAGATGAATCAACGTTGTATTGGATGGTGGACTTGATTGCTTGAAAATGGTAGAAGAAAGAAATTGAAAGAAACAATTGGTGAGGGCATTAAGATGAGGGCACTATGGTATTTTATGCCAAATACCACACCTAAAATAACCCATTGCCTTAGTTCATCCAAACAAGACATTTTAATTCTCAATTTCTACAAATAACACACAAATACCACTTGTAGAAAAAATGAGTTATTTGGTTTTACAAATACCTCAAAACCAATAAACTCATCCAAACGACCCCTAAGGAACACACCATATAGGTGTTACCTGTTAAATTTAACAAATTAAACATCTAGGACGCTAATATAATTAGTACTAATGCTGATGTATAGATGAAAGTTTTATTTTTGGTTCAAACATGCTAATGTGGTATGTTAAACACATACAATAGATAACACTATTATCACCACTATCTTGTAATTAACATACATACTATGTAACATATAATAGCACATTAATGGCGTCTACCAGTCATTCAAGTTTTCACTTGCTTAATAACATATAGACGTACTTATATTGATCAACTACCCCTCTATATGAGATATATATGGTTAAAAAAACTACTAGAGGAATAATATAACAAGAAATATAAGTGGTTTATATAAATGATCAAGTAGTGTTAGTAGAGTTTGTTGGGCACTTACATATGTATGATCTTGTAGGCATCAACTCGTATAATGAGACTTATGTAGTTTTTCTACTATAAATATTATCAAAATTACATTATCATCACATCACACTCGTCACAAATTATAAAATCTAGGACAGGTTTATAAAACCACCCTCTTCATTGTTGTATGTTTAAGGAACGGTTGCCCGCGGTTTAAGGGTATTGTTTGTAACTCACAAGCGAGAGCACGACGTATAAGTGTCGAAAATCTATTTTGTTTATTTATTGATTGATTAATCAGACTAATGCCGTGATTACAATATATAGGCGACTAAATCGAATACATACCCTAGCTAACCTATAACCCTACTATATGGAATTCCAGCAAACTGGAATTCCAGCAGAAGCAACAAAAAAAGGAACAATGGAAAAAGATTATACCTGAGTTACTGTCACCAACTTCCTTCTCAACTTTCTCAAAATAAGCGACTGAACTACTACATTTCCCAAGTACGGCATCTTCATCCTGGCCACTGTAAACAGCTTGGTAACCTGAAACTATCTTGTCCAGTGCTCTTTCAATGGGCTGATTCTGTTTTCAATGAAGCAAAGCTCAGCTGCCATCTTCCATTTTACATATATAAAACCAAAAAGGAACAGTCTATGCTTTGAATGTAGAGTTCCAACTTACTGGTTTGAAACTTAAATCGAGACTTCTTCCATTCCTACGAATACCTTCCAGTTGTCTTCCAAGAAGCTCTTCCTTCAAAACTTGTCCCCTAGAACCAAAAACTTTACGCTCTTCCCAAATTCCAATCTGCACGCAGAGTGCGAGACAGTAAGGAGCTTTAGAAGGTGATCCAAAGCAGCAAACAAATATTGCTGTAGCAAACTTTGCATCTTCAAAATAAAACTTCAATTCTATGTCTTCTAGTTCGATCCTTTTATTCTATCCATGCCAGTTTGGAAAGAGTGACTTCCCAAGTGGAAAAATGAACATTTCTTAGGTAGTTGGTAGGTTCAAGAAATACAGAAACACCAAGAACTAAAATCGTTCTTCAGTATAAGACTTCTGCATAACCCATGGCACATGCACATTTCATCAGGTTACAGAGAAGCATTACTGCCACTTCCTATAAGTTGCCAACTAAGGCTGTCTTATCACAAATGGTTGGTAGATAGCACGATTTAATACCAAACCTAGTTTTTGATTCCCTTCAACAGACATCACTAATTTCCCCCCTAAAACCTTACCACGCTAATTTTACACCTATGCTCTTCTGGTAAGCTTTTGACATAATGAAACCAAAAACATTGACATGATAGAACATGAATGAAGGGGAGTATATAAAAGGCGTGAGGAAGCTGTGAGTACCAATCGCATTGCAGCATTTCTTCCAAACTCATCGCCATGATCTATTGTATCACGAAGAGCTTCTGGAAGAACCTTCCAGAATTCGCCAACAAACTCTGAGCCCTTTCGACGACTATTTTGTAGTATATCATTTGCAAGATACAGAAAAGCTACTCGCTGCTCACGTGGAGCAGAATGGAATTGTCTAGCCCATGTTTCAACGACATGTTCTGCTTTATGCATGTGAAATATGCACCAATGTGATAAAGCTAAGATCAGATTAAGGACACAACAAAGGGGAAATACAATACAAACAGAGGATGACAAAGCACATAGAGGACGAAAGACACGAGTCTGAGAGTCTGACAAAGCATACACAAGATGAAAGACACAAGTCTGGGAGTCTGACACTAAATGCATCATGAATGAGAAGAGAAGAAATCAATATATTCGCGAAAGATGCCAGAGACAGAAGGAAGAAATATCATGAACGGTAACATGACATAATATTTCAATCACAGAAGTTTCCCAGACAGCCATAAAATCACATTTGATATAACTTGATTTAAATGGCATTCATGTGTAGTATCTTTGCACAGGTATACAACTTCCACTTCCACAATTTAAGCTTTGAATGACCATAGCATACATATGTCTTGAAAAACTTAAGTCATTGATTTAGAAAACCAAGGTTTAGTAAATTTTGCTAGCAGAAACTGACAGTAATTGGAAAATGATAGCATCAAATCTTTGCACAGAGGAGGATACTCTCTATGCTTGCTTGAGAATTATTTAGCTTGGCGAGCTTCTCCACTAAAATCTGGGAATTAAATGAGCTGCCCATCTTCTCTTTCAATTAATGATACAAAGGAAGCTGCCTACAAACAAGGAAACAACTCTCAGAGACATAAACGTAAGCATAAACCAAGGCAAAACCATGACGTTACAGGGTAAACTCAAAGCTATCCAGCGTAAAACATTAATGGCAACAAATTCAGTGAAATGCCAAGATAGTCAAAAGGGGGAAATGTCATAGTACATCTCAGCCCGCAGCAAGGGGCTAGCATTACAGCAATAACAACAGCAAATAATACCCCTTATCTACTCTGTCCTAAATGGTTGCAGTATTACGCTGCATGATTAACCACTAATTCTGCTCAATTCTATATGCGTTGAAGCATAACGCCCACTAGTCACATTCATCACAAAAACAAGAAAAAAGAAAAACAACTCGAAAAAGCTTTAAGCTTTTAGGCAGTAAGATGACAACTTGTCAGCTCTATATACGTACAGTGCCCATCTCAACTTTGAAATCCACTAAATTGGTAAGGAAGCAATTACTTGGTAGCGAATTCCATCTACGATTAATGGGCCGTTTACTTGCCATTCCATTTCTGTTAGCTGCTACAATAGAAAACAAAATTAAACTGAAAATGAAACTGTCATTCCCCTGAAAAACAAAACTCGAAGAAACCTTGTTTAGCTGGGAATTTTGGTGAGTTCTAAAATGATTTCTAAAAATGAAAACTTGTTTAGTTGTTTCATACTGTTTTCTGATAACTGATTACTACGATTTTGTTTATTGAGTATCATACAACCCTAATCATGATACAATAAACAAAATTCATCTGCCACTTTCCACCCCACACATTTACAACTCGTTGAAATAAATCAGGAGAACAATAGAAATTAGAAGAAAGAAGGGAGTTCATGAAAGGAATGAGAAAGAGAAGTAAGATCAAATAACAAACAAGTAGTCATATGGGTTGTTGTAAATTCCATGGTGAGAGGCGGATGATTTCTAACAGATGCAACAAATGCAACAACTGCAGAATCTCAATGACCCATCGAAAACACGGTCAAAATCAACACACACATAAAACATGATTTTGATTAAACAAAGGGTAGGGTAACAATTTCTCACAAACAGTTCACCCTGTAAAGTGCTCGACTCGCCGGCTGGAACTTCTTTGGGTGGAACTCTATTCGGCGGCTAGACCTTCGACAGGTGGAGCTCGACTCGCCGGGTGGAACGATTCATCAATGCTGCTTGATTTTCGCCGGACGGAGGGGGAGAGTGAGGCTGGACCGCTTCATCGCTACTACTTGATGTACGCCGGCTGGAGGAGAGAGAGAGGCTAGACGAGAGAACGATTCGTTGCTGCTGGTTGTCTTCGCCGGCTGCTAGTGGTCTGGGGGTAGAGGGAAATGAAGATGAGAGACGGGGGCTGCCGGAGGGATAGGGAGACAATGGCGGTCGCTCGTGGTCTGAGGGAGAGGGAGGGGAGAGGGAGATGATGAAATTCGTAGTCTAGGGTTGCAATGGCAAGGAGCGGAGCAAAACCAAAAAAAAATGCAGCAGGGGGATTTCGAACGATGGACCTCATTAATAAATCAAGTGATAACCTGTTCCACTGTTTCCAGGAAACGACGATTTATTGTTTTCCCCGGCTAGGGGTGAACAAACACACCCGTAAATCGACCCACCCGTCCAACCCGACCCAATCCACCCGTATTTATTGTTAAATCGAAGGTTTTGGGTTGGGCGAGGGTTTTCTTTTGTACAAACCGCTTCTTTTGGGTTGGGTTTGGATTTTGGATTACACAACCCGTAGAACCCGACCCAACCCGTGTTCCAATTATTGGTATGAGTTCGTATCCAAAAAAATATTTATGTCGTATATAGTCATACTTATGAGAAAATTAAGATATTTCGCCATGTTTTCTCTTAAAGTCTCACTAATCTAATGCATTCTTCGACTTAAAGTTTAGACATATATTTAATATAGCTATGATTCACGTAATTTTTTATTCTTGTGTAGAATTTTAAAAAAATATCATATTATGGATGTGTTCATTTGTAACCTTTTTAGACTATTTCAACAAATGTCGTGAAAAAAACTAGACATAAGTTGAAGTAAATCAAGTTTTATTAAAATTGAAACAATATTTGTGAATTTTGATACCTTTTACCTCGGTTTATTCGTTTTAATTTTTAATTTGTTATAAAATATTTTTATGATGTAGAATAATTACATATTTTGTGTTGGGTTGGATTTTTACTTAAAAATATCGTCAACCCGACCCAACCCAATTAGAAACAAACCGTAGGGTTTATATTTTTTTGGGTGGGTTTGGGTTTAATATTTTCCAAACCGTAGTGCATGAGTCGGGTGATTAAAATGCCTAAACCCGGACCACCCGACCTATGTACACCCCTACCCCCAGCTACTTGATTTGTAGCAAATGGATTTCTTCAAAAAACAAAATTGCAAGTGAACACTTTTTTTTTGTCATTTGTTTGTTCATTTTCATTTTCACAACAGAAAAAAAAAAACAAAATGGGAAGTGAACAGGCATAAACCAAATAAGCTAAATTGTTTAACCAAAACAAACCATTTATCCAAATTAATCGAATCCTACCAGTTAATATGGTTACCACAGTAACCAACCCGTCTGAACACCCCTATAATTAGAGAAAGAACAACTAGAGAAGATGAAACCCCATGGGAACTTGATTCTTCTTCCTAGTTTCTTGAATTGATCCTTGGAGATGAAATCTAGCCTCCAAATGACTTGGGTAGGTCAAATACACTTTCATATCCACCGCGTTAATGCAAGTTTGATTTTAACTTGAACGATTTAACTAATCTTAATGTCACGAATGAAATGAAATAAAATATTTTTAGTGACAAACGTGAAACAATTTAAGAAACTCGGTAACTAAACTTGCAATTTACCCAAAATTTAACAGAAGATCAAGTTTGACGTATTGTTAAGGTAACATTTTTTTTATCAAGAGAAAAATTCATAATAGAAACACAAAATATTCTATTAACCCTAACATGAAACAAATAGTTGATTTCTTCTTTAGACCTGTTAGACCCAACAATAAATTACCGTTTACCCCTTCTAACAGAATAAAAGTGTTCTCTGAAATAATACAACACGTTGTGGAAGGTGGGAATCAACTATTTTGGTGCACCATCCTTGCCAAAGTAACTAACCCTCGATCCAACAGCATACAGGGGAGGAAGGAAAAGGACTAAAGAACGAAGGAAATCATCTGAACTTGCCAATTTCCACCTTTTTCTTGATTGCCTTTTTGCCATGGTAGACAAATGAGTCGACTATCCCTGCCACGGTGAAAATACCTGTGCCAAACACGATTCATCAATCTAACCAGAAGTTCTACAACTCTACACAGGCCCACTTTCCAGCACTCGCGAAAACTAACCGGAGCACTTGTGAATGAGAGATAATTATTAGACATGTTTAGATCTTACCTCCTATTACTGCACAGATATTGGTCAAGAAGTGTAAAAACGAAATGTGCTCCTCTTTATAGACGACCTGCACCATGATACGTGATACCCATAATGCATGAGTAACCTCGTTACTCACAGGTTAACGCTGTCAACATGTGGTTAGATTATGAACGACGAGAGGAAAGCTAGAACCATGTGAGTGGAACAGCAGCCCACCTTGATAGGAGACAGTTCATAGAAGAAGAATACTCCGGGGAAAGAGTTGGCACGGATGAAGTCTACATGCCTCATATGCTCCGTAACAGAATACTGCATTCAGAGTCCATTCAGGTAATTCTGACCAGGTGATGATGTAAACTCAGATGAGCATGATTGAGAAGAAACTTATCAGTCTAGGGGAACCTACAACAATTACCTGATTCGAGCGTATAGTGTGCCCTCTGGTGTTGGTGTATACGGTTGGAACCACCTGCAATAACGAGATGATGACAATTATCTCATCCATTCCACACTGAAAGACATGCAACAAAATGTGTAACATCACCCTACAAGTGTTCTTCAACTCATGCAGAGACAGATTGCTTTCAGAAAACGCATGCAACACTCATTTATGTCCTACCAAGTTCATTCATTATTTTTATTGAAGGCCAACTCCAACAATTTTTCTGTCGCTACTGCTTCACCCTAAAGGCGACGAAGCTACAGAAACTACTTTTGCAAGGAGCCCAACAATGTGGCTACAGAATAATTCGATAGGTTAAATCTTGAATGATGGCAAATTTGTTTTGCTCAACCAAGTTATCTCTAAATGGTGTCAAAAGGTTTTCTTTTGTTTGTTGGTTGATGTTGAAATGAGCATATTGTTCACCAATCAGCAGTTACAACTAGGTGATGGTGTTATGCCACATAGAATAAACATCTTCCTTAACAACAATTACCAGTATCTCTATAGGGTTTTGTTACACAAACCTTGATGAAATACTGATGCATGCCATTAGGAGAGTCATGCGTCCACTGTACCCTGAGAAGTCAAGACTTTCAAAAATCAAGATACTGAGAATGGAGAGGTAAATAATCAAACTCCTAACCCCTGTGTTTAGAAGGACCCGGGACCCCAGCGTGTCACTCCTTTCAATTGTTTTCCAAAAAGGTATAAAAATAAAAACTACACGGTGCTGCATCATATGGATTTAACTGCACAACAAAGGACCCAACTTAAGGCTAATAATGATATTACCTGTCAAGGGGGTTGACTACACCAGGAAAATAGTCTCCAAAAGCAAGGCTATTGATACTGTGACTCACCTACATGATTCACAAGAACAAATACACATGAGGAAAAGTACGGTAACAGTTTGTTCAGTTTTCCACAAGGATTTTCTGTTGTTATCAGCATGTCTTACATTATAACTATCCTTTTCAAAGGCCAGTAAATCGTGGATAAAAATATTAGACTGATGGAAACTTTTCCCAGGTATGAAGTGAAAATTCCCTGCTACTTTGTTCACTTCCAAAGACCCATGAATATTGCATCCTTCACCGACTTCCTCCTTGACCTGCTGGATAAATCCTTCCCTTTTGCACTGGAATGGGGAAAAAGCCATTAAATATACTAAAAAACGTGAGAGCAATTAATACCAAACTGGAAATCTGGTATGTTCTAATTACACCCGCCACTTTTATCTTGTTGATAACAGCAAGAAACTATTCCGAATACTTTTAACGGATAGTTTGGTTCATGGAATGTTGCAATTCATGGAATGCGTATAATTCATCCACACGACCTGTATATAACAACGATCAAAAGGTACTAGCAACATGGAGTAAGGATATCGATAATAGAGTACCCAAGTGACCTCTACAGCAAAATTCTATTCCAAGAAGTTGAACTAACACCTCGCAATAAGAAATGTCCTTATTTAGCAGAAGCCAGTATCATCCATGAAAGCTTTTACTGAAGTATCACCCATGAAAAAAGTCAACCACAGTCCATTATTCCCTTCTATTTGACAAACCAGAGAGTCAGTCTAAGTTTATAAATAAAAGAAACCTAGTTCAACAGGCTAAACCTCAATAGGCTGAGAGACCACTAACTCACCACCATGAGATGATTTTTATGACGTTAAGATTCAGCTGGATTACTACAAAGAAGCAGCTATTTGTTCAGTCTTGACTGTGTTGTAAACATCTACAGACCAAACTTAGCTCATTCCTTTTGTGAAATGTTGCTCGTCTCTCATGCTCTCAGCCATGCTCTTCTTTCAACAGTCTGAAACCCCAGAAATAAACACATGGGGAAAATATGGCCAGTATAGCTTATAGTATAATGAATGGTGATGGGAAGGCACCTAGTAGTAGTTTTCTGCACTCACTGAATCCCTCTTCACTTCATTCTGATAGCTTAGTAGCATATCGATAATTCAATCCGTACCAAAATCAATTTCATACTCGAATCATGAAGCCTAAGAGATACAAGATATACACTGAGACCTGCCCGTTAGACTCTTCATTAATCTTGGAAAGAAAGACTCATAGGAGAGACTCATTGCCGGATCACGAAGTTATCCAGCAAGATACTAGGGAACTTATCGTGCACAGAGGATACAAGTTTTTTGGCAAAAGGAGAAGATATGTCTAGTAACCTACATGCAGTTTTCAAGCCATTGAAATGAAAGTAAAGTACATTTACTGTAAACCTAACCTGGTCAAGCATATCTGCATTTGTAAGTGCCCATCCTTTTTTCCTGTATGCTTCTTGAACTTCTTCACATGTGTTACAACAATGATCATCTGCCTGCATTAGGAGATGAGGAAATAAATAACCAAGGAGCATGCGAGATGAGAAAATTTTAGGGTATCTCTTCAATTAGCACAAATGTAGCCAAATCGACCAAAAATTTCAAGGAAAATGAACAGATAAATCAGTTGATAAAGGGATTCATATGCTTCAGGTTTTCTTATTACAATTTACTACTTCATATAGCAGTAGCTATCGAATTGTGAGGCTTTCTTTTTCTACAGACAATCTCCAGCAAGAGAAAGAAAGAGCAAAATAATAATGGTAGTAGTATAAAACCCCAGTGAACTCCTGAAATCTTAAAACTTTTACCATCTGAATCAATGAACAGTAGAATGGGGTAGCATAAGTGAGTTTATCTAATTCTACTCAAGTTTGATGATTAAATTGATTAACAAGTAACGTCGAGTAGATATTAAAAATGGATAGCATCCATATCTAGCTATTGGAAGAACTTCATCTTTTGGCATACAAGTGCTTGTCTTTTTTTTTTTTTTTCTTCTTTTCTTCCTGTGTTTAGAATATGGATAATTGAATGTGCTCGTAGCTAGATATAGATGACATTTACTACAACAATCAAGTAACATTATATTGTTATATGAATAATGATATTTCAAATATTGAGTACGTGTACTTGTCACTTAACAGGAAGTTTTGTGCTTATACTCACATTGTAAGGTCAGATTGAGAAACTATAATTGCTTATCAGGAAGTTTCAATTATGATTCTTGAAACTTAACAATTCTATGGTTTGAGTTCAGATGTTCCAATTTTACATACGTCAATTTTATAGTTTGACTACCTTGCATATAACATAATCATAATCTTACTGTATCTGCGCCATAACATGAGCCACAATAAGTTTCACCATGTTCAAGTCTGGCACCATGCTTCTGCAAGGGCTTCTCAATCTGTGTGAAACAAACCAAGATGGTGGATAACAAACATCAATTAATATAAGAACAAAGATCTAAACTTACACAAGAGTATGCTCCTGGGAAAGTGTCTGTTTAAGAGAAGAAGAGAAGTATGAGAATTTGACTGACCGTTGGTGCACCAATGCCACTCTGTTTGGCTTCAATAACATGACCATGGGCATTAATTCGTTTCTTGGTTATATCATGCCTCTGAAATAACAAGAAAAGCAAAAAAAAAATTATTTAACAATGATTCAGAAGTCGGTTTAAGGAAACTCAAAGGCCCCCCCAGTGAAGTATACAGCAATCCACTCAATCAAACTAAAGTATAGCTGTGATTTCTCCAACCCCTAATAAACAGAACCAGGTTAAAACTGAATCCTAAAGCCACCACACCTTGGGTTCAAACTTCGAAGAAAACATCGTCTACATAAGAAAAGAAGCAGCATTTGTGCCTCACAGAGAGAAAAATCAATGGACTATGTCATCATACGCAAGTCCGGGTTCTTACATGTTAACGATTCATGAATACTGTAGTGAAAATGTTCAGTGCAGAACTCAAAGCAACAGATATTACTTATGAAGGAACAACTTCATTGTCTTTTTGCTACCCTAATCTATGAGTTGTGTGATGTTTAAGGTTTTACCGTTTTAGTATGACCATGTAACTAATCTTATAGTTTACAGTTGGCCCTGTAACATCAATCACATGTAATATATTGCCGGAAGCCAATGAACAATTCAATGGGGAAAATGAGAACACCAAAGGAAGAGGGAAACTTGAAGGCCAAGAATTCAAATGCAAGCAAACATACGATATCAAAATGTTTTTCTCCGCTTATATCCATGGCATCAAGGCTGAGCAGCGAGCACGGAATGGCTGGGAAGGTAACATCAAACTGCATAGCAAGAGTACATGCATGTATCAGAGTAATTAATTATTCAGAAACCCAATAAAATGCCGAACTAGAATGGTTCGGGAACATTTGAAGATCGAATCCAAGAAACAATATAGTGAGATTGAAGATTTTACATTGATCCGCAGTGTCTCGCCCCTTGCGGTATCAACCAGAAGCTTCGTCTCAGTTACCGTATGTAGGTATAACCCTTGACAGAGGTGAACAAGAAAAAGAGGAACTCTTCAAACAATTATACACGAAAGAGAACAGAGAGCCGTAGATCTCCATGAAGATTAGTCACAGAAAATGCTTCGTCAAGAACTTAGTTATAATCAGCTAATAATAGCATTTGCCGAGTTGAAGAACGACAATAGAAAGAGAAAAGAAAAAGGAACATTGGAATAGGACCCGGAGAACACAAAACGAATTTAGGTGACTTCAATAATCAATCGGTTGAACCCTAGACCAGAAATTCAAAGAACTGAATTCCCCATGACTAAGAACTCAGAGCAGATGCAGAGGAGACTTACTGAACTCGGAGATGAAGAGGAAAAACATGACAAGAGAAGAAACGAGGGTAATAACGCCGCCAGAGAGTGTCCGGCTGTAGAAATCCTCGTTAATCTTTGGATAAGCGTCGAAATTCCGGAGCTTTTGTATCATTGCATCCATGGCTACCGGCGGCGAGAAAACCGGCGAAATTTTTTTTAGAGAGGAGAAGAAAGAGAGCTCGTTCCCCTCCCTTTACCGTTAGGAGGACGGAGGGGTTAGCTCAGCATTAAATTTAGAGGCGGCGATATCGTGGCGGAGGCCAGCGGCTACGGCGGCGACTACGAGGGGAGAGAGATGAGACGGAAGAGATAGATAGTCAAATGAAGTCCCAATCCGATGTGGTTAACGTCAAACTTTTCCCAAACTGTTAGCGAAAAAATGGAGTCCCGAATCCGATCGGAGGGAGACGAGACAGTAGACACGCTTTCTCTCCTCTTGCCCTTTTTTTTCTCTTTTTGTCCGAATTTTTTATTTTTTCCCAAACTATTTTTTATCGTCCTTTAATTCCATAAATATTGTTTTTTTTAATTTACCACGAATATTGTGTTTTTAAAAGTATTTACACCAATATTGTGTTTTGATGGAGGAAGTTGGCGACGGCACCCGAGACTCAGCAAATAGCGATTTTAAAGAAAAAGCCAGCGACGACGCCATAGACTGGGGCGCCGTCGCTGGCTACCTTTGTTTTTTAATTCCCCTCCCTCGCCCTCTCGCAGACACCCTCCCTCCATTCATCCCTTCCCACCTCTCTCGTCCTCCTTCCTCCTCCATCCCCTCCTTCACCCTACCAGCGCCGACACAAATAACCAGAGCGGCGAAGCCAAGTTTAAGGTGGCGGCGCCACAGGCCGAGGCGGCGGCGCCACAGACCGAGACGGCGGCGCGAAGAAGAAAGCGGCAGAGCCCCAGCAACAGCGGCGACGCGAGATGTCCGACGACGAGCAGGCCCCCGTCGGCAGAGGAAGAGGCCGAGGGCGGCGTGGCGGCGGCGGCGGCGAACGGTACAGGGGTGAGTGCCGGATTCTCGCCGGCGGCGGCCAGATTCTCGCCGGCGGCGGGTTTTTTCCAGTTCTATTTTTTTTATGTTCTAATTTTTTTTTATGTTCTAACATTTTTTTTTCCAGTTCCTAGGCTTATCGATCCTTGTTCGATGAGAGCACGACCTGCGACGATCGATACTGCTCCGATGGATCCGGACCTTCTTTGGGGGCATGGTCACCATCGGATTGACGCAGTTTGGGCGAATGAGGTAAGTTTTTCAAACTATTTCTATAGTTTTATTAGCTGAATAATATGATAGAATAGAATTAAATTAAATTAAATTACGATTGGAATTAAATTAAATTAGGAATAGAATTAGATTAAGTTACGATTATATTATATTAGAAAAAGTTTAGTTTAGATATATAAATATAAATATTAGGTGAATTGAAGGAATTGAATTAATATAGTTTTGTGCATTAATTATAGGCTGGTGATCGACCATTCCACATTCGTCATACTGGAAATTTAGTCCGATTCAATCCACTGTACCTGCCGTATCTCGTTGATGCCGGCCTGTCTAGTGTTCTGCCACTAGCTCCTCTTACCGGTGATCCGGGTTTGATTACTGCGCTCGTAGAGCGTTGGCGACCCGAGACATCGACATTTCACATGTCGTTCGGTGAGGTGACGATCACCCTAGAGGACGTTGCGACACTCACCGGATTAGCGATCGACGGTGATGCCGTCGTAGTAGACATACCCGACGAGGACTGGTCGGGTATGTGTCTTCGACTATTAGGACAGGCTCCTACTGATCTTGGTGGCGGCGTCATCCGGATTTCTTGGCTGAGGGAGACTTTCGATGAGCTGCCGCTTTCTGCATCACCCCAGACGACAGAGCAGTTTGCAAGAGCGTATGCGCTATCTCTGATGGGAGGTGTCTTGTTCTCCGATCGGTCTGGAGGTTCAGTCCACCTGCAGTACCTACTTTTGGTGGAGGATTGGCACAGAGCGGGGAGGTTTGCTTGGGGAGCAGCTGTGTTGTCGTACTTGTACCGTGAGATGGGTAGATCGGCGCTGCAGATGACAGCATCTTCTTCACTGGGTGGTGACTTTGGTGGATGGGCCGCCTTGCTGATGATCTGGACGTGGGAGCGGTTTCCTCATACATCACCACTACATGCGGTGACGGGTGAGCAGATTACTCAGGACGCAGTGCCACGTGGCCTTCGGTGGCTTCCGGCCCACACCCGTCAGCATGGAGATCAGTTCTACTTGTACAAGCTGTGGTTTGACGAGTGCACGACATTCGTGGTTAGTATATATCATTTCGTTTTATATAATAGTTTTAATTGATTTGTTATAGATTTAGGAGTAATTATGTGACCAATCCTTGTGTGCAGTGGCGTCCGTACTATGATAGAGGTCAGGACTACAGCGGTACTATGCCCCAGTCCCACACGTTTCGAGCAGTTGTTCCGTTGATCTGCTTTTCATCGCAGATGTGGCATCATCCAGATCGCGTGCTCGGACAGTTTGGGATGAGACAGGATCGGCCTCATCCTCCACATTCCGCGGCTGAGATTAGATTTTTTCTTCGTCAGGGACAGCATGGGCCTTCACGTGGACAGCAGTTCATACAGGCAGCCAGCGAGTCGATTGAGCTGTGGGACCGTCGACATGAGTTCGTAGCGCAGACGAGCTACACTGACGAAGAATTAGCTTACCACTCGGAGCATCTAGAGTGGTACAGAGATGTCACTAGACGTTCAGGCACACGGAGAGTTGCTGCACTGAACGCAGCGGTGAGTTTTTTTAGTAATTAAAATTTGTGTTTTAATTGTTTTTAGATGTATAGAATTTCTGATATTTTCCATTTAAATTTGCAGTACGACTCCATGGAGTCCGTTCAGCAGGGTTTACGTGATGGGATGAGATTAGGAGGGCTAACATACGACCAGATGGGGGAGTATGTTGACCAGTTGGCGGCAAGGGTTACAGCTTTAGGTTTTAGTGGTCGCCAACATACTGATACGGAGCCGATACAGCGGTACCCCGATGAGCGCAGCTTAGCTAGCTGGCCAGAGCGTAGGACTCAGTCATCGGCCTGGGGCGTGCCACCGCCACAGTTCACAGAGGAGCCCAGGAGGAGGAGACAGCGACGTGAGCAGCGTGACGTACCTCGAGGAGTGAGGTACTCAGATCGTCAGCCCGTCAGACCTACATCGACCTTCACATTCCAGCCAGTCAGGCCTACTTTTACCGGATTTCAGGCAGGCACCAGTTCCTCTAGCCCTCAGTTTCAGCCACAGGAGGATAGCTTTCACACACTGCAGCATACTACGATGGGAGGCGGGCACATGGGATCAGGTAGTACAGACCTGCATTTGGACGTCGATGAGTGGGAGCGTGTCGATCAGCAGCTTCAGGGTCAGGTCTTCCAGACATCTAATTGGGCATATGAGCAGCAGCGACGAGAGGGTGCACCGGATGAGCATGTTCAGTCTCAAGTAAATGATATGTTCGGCACACAGGATCAGGATGATGGGCCGGAGAGAGATGAGCAATTGCCTCCACGATACAGGAGGCCAGCGAGGTGTGGTACTGGCGGCCATCTAGTGGTCGGCGTGGTGGTCGGCGTGGTGGTTGAGGACTATTTATTGTTATGTAATTATGTACTTCCTTGAGACTATTTATTGTTATGTACTTATTTTGGACTATTTTTAATCTGATGTTCTTAGTGCTATTGTCTAAATTGAGACTTTAAATATAAAACCAACAAACATCAACAACTAGTTCAGTTCATAAAAGTCCAAACAACAACTTCAAACAACAACTTCTTCAAATAACAACAACTCCAAACAACAACTCCAAACAACAACAACTTCTGCGAGATAAATTGAAAGAAAAACAACAACTGCTACATTCGAACTAACTTCTCAGCCACGTCTATTCCCTCTACTTCCTCCTCTTCTACCACCTCTCGCACTTCGTTGGCCACCAATTCCTCTTCGGTTGCTCCCACTCCCACTTGCTTGGCGACCACAGGTTGATGCATTATGTCCCGCTTGGTTACAGTTGCTACACACTTGCTGTGATGAACCCTCCCTTGGCCAATCCATCTCGTTGTGAATTCGTGTTGATCTTGGCCTCCCCGGCTTTCTAATCATGTCCAGATTAGGATGGAGAGTAGGGTCATTATGCTTCTTCCAACCCTTAGGTTCACCAAGAGGTGCGAAACTTGTCCCATAACAAGCCATCACTGTTTCCAGCTTGTAGACATTGTTGACAAACCTATACGCATTAACACCCATTCGGTTGCAAGCTGCAATGGCATGAGAGCAAGGAATTTTATTTCCTTGAAATTTACCACAGGTGCAAAATCCCGTCCGGTTGGGGTCGTCAAAGTGCACTGTGAGTGTGTTTGACCCCGTCATGTTGAAATTGTTGGGAGGAGTCTGAACTACATAGATGCCTTGAGCTCGATCAAGAGCTGTCACAGAATGTCCAACTGCCTTTTGTGACCACGCCTTCATCAGCTCTTCGCACTTGGTGGAGAATTGTGAAGGACCACTCCTAATTTCTGCTCCTGTCTCCAACCTGTACTTATCGAATTTCTCCACCAATCCCCAATAGGTATGTTGCACAAGAGAAGCTATAGGAAGTGCACGAATACCTTTGAAAATACCATTGACGCTTTCTGCCATGTTGGATGTCAGGATAGACCAACGACGCCCACCATTGTAGTTATCGTGTGCTAAACTCCAACGAATCTGATGTTGATCCACCCAGTTATCACATGAAATATTTCTATCAGCGGCCACCTTCTTAAATTGCTCAACTTGACAATCAAACTTCTCCAACCGTTTTTCTCCGGCTAACAAAATAAAATAAACCACCACACGGGTTAGATAAATTCATGACAAAATAACATGAAAACAAGTAACCAAATTATATGAAGAAAGCTTACCGACTCGAAATAGTTGATTATACATAATTCTGCTTTTAGTCTTCCTTTGCAAATTGCTTGCATAGTGTCGCATGCACCACCTCCACTCCCAACCTCTTCCGATGTTATTCATGGCTTCATAGAGTCCTGCATGTCTATCTGAGATGATGCATACATCATTTCGATCA